TTCATCGATTGATGAAGTGGAGGGCTGGGTAGGTTGGGGAATTTGTGAGGTGATGGGGGATGGTAGTTGATGAAGGGTGCGAAGGATGGTTTGGAGTTGGGTAATGATGTAGGTTAGGTTTTCATCGGTCTCAGTTGCCTGAGCCGTGAGGGTGGCGAGGGATTGGATGATGACTTGGTTAACTTGGGTGGCTAAGGATGATATGGTATTGTGTTATTGGGTTATGGTTTGTTGGAGGATTTGGAGGCGGGATGAGTTGGTTTGGGTTTGGGTGTCTATTTGGTTTAGATGGCATTAGAGGATGGCAAGGGATTGATGGAGGTCTGGGGTATCGGGTGAGGGTTGGTTCTCCATAATCCCTTGTATTAGGAGTTTAAGTCATCCAAGGACCACGTCACTTTATCAACAAAGGCTTGGCACTCAGCCTTAGTGACCAGATCTGCTAATGGGGTAACCCCTGCAGCAACAGATGCTGCAGGTTAGGCCTCTGTTCCTGAGGCGCCCTCTTGGCCTTGTGCGAAGGTAGGCCGCGAGGGACTTCCATCATGTCCTTGATAGCCTTCTAGAGAAGAACTATCTTGTGATGTTGGAACATCCTCTTCATCTTCTTCAGCTTCAGAGGCTGACTAAGTGAAGTGGATGTGTGTCCCTTTTGGTAGATCAAATACCGAAGGGAGTGGTGCACGAATTGAAGATCGCTCTGAACGATCTATGGGATCAATGTCAGAAGCAACGAATGCTTCTGTGTGTATGCGGGGTAGTGGCGAGCCCTGAGGCGAAAGGGCTCTTATCTCTTCATCACCTCTCTGTTGAGAGAAGGGTGATGGTATATGTGGTTCCTCGGCTTGTTCATCTYYAGAGGCCCGAAGGATGGCCTCTGGATGGCTGGCTTGGGTTACGGTGGGACTGGGTCGTCCTGTTTCAATACCCCTTTGGCTTTGATCGCCAGGGGTAGTAGATGTGGTTGCCCTTTGGAGAGGAGGGTGGTGAATATTTTGGTGAAGGCCGGGGGAAGCACTAGCATCATCATCATCATCATCTTCATCATCCGATGAAGACGATGCTTGTGCTCCCTCGCTTGGAGGGGGAGACGGCTCTAAGTGCTCCGGGGTAGCTGCCCTCGGTTGTTGGGACAGCATGGAGCGTTCATAGGCTTGGCGTATCTCACTTGTCGATGGAATGACAGTGAGCA